ACCCCAAGCCTCGTTCTTATTCCCTCATATCGCCCTTCCTGTTTTCATTTAAAAATCCTTTTTTTTTCTGCCTATATGACTCGTCGGATCACGTGGCTTATATGTTAAAGGTCATACGATATCACCAAAACAATGAAAAGCGCATGCTTGCATAAGGAATGCTACTTTCGTTGCACTATTGGTACCAGTACCTGAGGTTCTTTGGTTGTAAGTAAACAGCTAACAGAACTCACCTCTCGCATGGAATCAGGAGTCCTCTTTAGCTTTTTCTGCTTAAATTAACAGAAAGGGTAAGTGACGTCTACCAGAAACGTCACAGTAGTCACGGAACATAGCATATCCAATTCTTTCTTGGTAGAACTGTTAAGATAAATTTTCAAGACGCAATACTCTGGCATCAAATCCACGTGCTGTCAAGCGTGAAATCGCTGGAACACAATTCAAACCACTAACGGAGAAGGTGCATGATCTCAAATGAGGAGCAAGCTTCGTAATCATCATGGAATAAAGTGGGTGGCAGCGATTGGCCGAAGGGTAAGTGCTCTTGTGAACCAGTACGAAGGCTGCCATTAGCCACAGGTTACGGCCGAGAATGGCCTTCAATTATCATGCTCATCAGGGAATTCCTTCGTCAGGAGAAAGCACGTGGCTATCTATATGACTCATGAAATAGTGCAATGGCTTGCAGTAAGTTCTAGTGGAGCAGGAGTGCACGTCCTATGCCCCTCATAAATCGATGCCAAGGAGAATCAAGGTTTGATGGGGGGATGTGAGGACTGCCCTTGTCAACTACTGTATAATGACAGCATGGTTCTATTCGTTCTCCAGTGCCTTCACCTTCCATGGAAACCGGGAGCTTCCCACTCTCATGTCCCGATCGATAACATATGTACCCTCATCAGAGCATCCATCCGTCCTTCCCAATCATTTGCCTTTAGCTCTCACTCATACGAAACGAAATGACTGGAGGATAAAATTTTAGAGGGGAATCATCCTCAGAAAAAAAAAGAGAGAGCTACATCTCGATTTGCATCCGCGAAAGAAAGGTGGTTGACATGAGCCTCGATCAAATCAGTTATAGTCGAGGTGACATCCGCCCACGGGAATCACCAGACCTCGGGCCTCCTTAGACCGGCCTTCAAGACCCACACACGCATCCTCTTTCAGAGTGACACTGTCTTCATTCTGGACTTGACACTTCAATGAAGTCCATATCCGGGGCCAAAAGTGTCATAATTATACATTGTTAAGGTTGACCCGCATATACGTGATTGCGAAAGACAGCCTTCACAAGGAGGAAGGCCGAAAGTCGTCTGGATGGGTTATGGGAGGTCCACCAGGTTTGGTTCATTACATTCGATGAAGATAATAGAGGGTGGGGCAAAAAAGATGAACACATTTTGAAATGTAATAAGTTACCAGTACTCATGCAAGTCTCTCTTTCGTTTGTAGATAATCAGTCAACAGTAGTGGGTATTAGATGTGAACCCATGGCTTGGTCAGAAGAGCAACAGACTCAAGTGGTGGAGCTGCATTTCAAGACTGGCTCAATAATCAGTGCGGTATCGATGCAGGGGGATAATTGGACCTTTTTTGAAGATGATGATGGCAATACAGTGACAGTAATCTCTGAGCTTTATCTCCAGATGTTGGGACACTTTTTTCACTCCAGAATTACAGAGGATGAACATTCCTCTTCCTGGTGTGTAGTTTATGCAAAAAAAAGGACAGTTTATAGGGCGACAAACCACACCATCCGCATAGGCATGAACTTTTTGAGGAAGACATTTCCTGGAAAAATCGTGTCCCGTTTTGATGATATTGAATGGCCACCAAGGTCACCGGACCTGACAGCACCATACTTTTTTCTCTGGGGAAATTCGCAATAATCCACATTTGTTATCCGAAACCATGAATAATGTCATTGCTCGTGCCAGGGAGTTTATTAACCGTCAAGGAGGTTATTTGCAGAAAATAATCTTCAAAACGTAAACATAAACATAAATTCCTGTATCTGTACTGCATATTGAATGTTTTAATGCAGTATATACATAAACACCAAAGTATTACATTTCAAAATGTGACTATCTTCTCTGCCCCACTCTGTATTTCCCTCAAAGAACGAATGTGAGGTAGTCAAGACTCGCATGTCAGCACAAGCCATAATCAGATCCGCTGCCCTGATGCCCGAACACCATAACTATTCATTAATCATTAGGTTATTGGTTAATGATATAACTCTAGAAAAGCTTCTGGTGCGTTTCCTCGTGACCATTAACTTGATTCAGGCACAAACCAATGTTATATATTATTACGTAAAGGCAAAATATGAATTTTTCGCAGGCCATCCAATCAAAAATATAGAGCCCCGGGAGAACAACTCAGGATCACTGCCTCATTCTGAACCATTCCATGAAGCCTGAAACTTGCACTTCGAAATTGGAAATTTGACTTCCCCGCCTCAGAACATAAGCTACTAAGCAAACATGTAAATTGGATCTTGCATTTTCTTTCATATATATGCAGTTACTAATGTAATAGTGAAACAAAACATATCCGACATAAACAGAATGAAAAACAGCCTTTATGGTGTCCAAGGAGAGAAGTCTTTTAAGCAGTGCTGAGACTGCATCCACCTCATGCGTGAAAAAAAAATTATATTTTATGACTGCAATTAGAACGACTGTCGCTCTTTATCAAGACAACCTAGACATTGAAACCTTCAGGAAGCAAATTTTGTAGGGTTTCTAATGCGATGCAAGAAAATTATGAACCTAAAATTTCCACGGTTGGTTTCACAAGGTGTCAAACAGGATGCTTTTTTTGCGCCACCCATTACAACTTCAAAGCCATTGACGAGTAACTATTCTTGCTGCTGCATGGAATCACCATCAGCACTAACGCCTTTCTTTGCATGTCTTGATGTCCATGCCCACGAGATGAGATGGAATTTTTCACGCTAAGTACGCGGCAATGTTTGAAAGTAGAATGAAAAAAAAAATAATATATATATATACATTTTTTTTTTACTACATATATCAAGGGCCGACTGAATGTACCGTTGAAATCACAGTTAAAACTCTTAAAATTTTGGCACATCTCCTAACTGAATGGTCACGCACACGCCCATATCAAAGTTCCATAAACAGACTATAAATACGTGGGGCGTTAAAAAAATGTTCGACCCCGAGGCACTTCTAATTGTAATACACCATTCTTCCATTTCTCCTGAAAAGACAGATGTCGTTAGAGTTCAATGGCATAATTTCACAATATTTGGATTTAATATACACATTTTATGGAGGTTTTTTAGTGCGCTGCCAAAAGGTCCTCTGAAAGATTTATAAAATGTAACATTGCTCTCGTTTCCATAAAAAAAAAATAATTTTAATCAAATATTTAAACAAAAACGTAATAATTGTGCATTACGACTGGAACTAAATCGGACCCGGGAAACTTCTTGAACGCCCCTCATATAGTTCGTCACTCCCATATTTACAACGGAAGGGTTCAAGGGTATATTTCAAATGGAAATCGGAAACTAAAATCATTCGTTTACAAGATACAGGAAGAACAAGACCTGAAAATCGTCCAAAAGGCATAGGCAAGTTCGCAGAATGGTCCTTCTAGCGAATCCGCACGTTAATAGGTTTTTGTACATCAAAAGTTCAATGATATGGAAGGAAGAAAGAAGATACGACCCATGTTCTGCTACATAAACGACGAACACGAATACGATTATTCCAAGCCAGTCTGAATCATCATTTGATTCTAGATGTATCGATGTCTCCGGAGGATTTATTCCGCGGGGAAACGAGGAAGAAGCAGCTTTGAATAGACCACTAGTATCTGCGTCATTTCGATGACTGGGCCCACTGGAGCCCTCGAAAAAGTTCTGAGAGCACTTCAATTAGGCCTACACGAGAGAGGACTCGGGGGCACTTACAAGTAACTTTTATCGATCTTTCCGACAAGCTCCGAGGAGGAGGAATTATCGTGTTGTCGCTCACAGTTTGCCACTCTAACATCATAGACATCACACAAGGGCCTACTCCAAGAGCAAACAGTGAAACCAACGCAACATGATTGGTGAGACTAGATATCACTTCTCATATCTGAACGAACGCTCTTTCCAGGTTTTGAGAGCAGCCAAATACTAAGCGAGAAACGCCATAAATGCAACGGCATAAATCATGAGTCTCCTGATCGAGTTGATGTTCGCGCAAGAGCCAAGCGATAATTCGATGAACGTTAGGGATTTGGATTTGGAAACAAAGAGTAACAATCTAACGATAAAGAAAAAGTTGATGTAGCGCAGACAATGACCAACGATCATTCAACAGCCTTGATGTTTCTAGAACTCAATGAAAATGCCTGCGTCGGTGATGGACCGTTATTCATTAATTAAATCCTGCCTCAGAAAACCTGTGTGATTCTGTTATACAAGTCATTTTTCAGTCTCAGGAGTACATTCAGTATTCATTTTCTTTTAATCTGCAGGCAGGCCATTATGTATTTGAGGCGACAAATTCCTGCCTTCTCAGGAACATCAGAGTGAAAATGAATTCGCCCAAGACTTGGATTTCGCCTGTAGGAATAGATACTTCCCTTCCATTGTCGCAAAAATGAAAAAAGGCTTAACACGTTCGTCGACTCCTCTCCCCATGATATTCAACCATTGAATTTGGATTTCGTAGCCCATAATCTCGGCGCGGCAGTTCCCCGACCACAGCGGTCGGGGTCCAAAGTCCAAAAGTCCAAAGCGACATTCCTAAACAGATTTATAGTACACGAGCGTCATCTATCGTTTATTCATCAAACTCGAGATGTATTTGATGCACACCGGGGGGCGCTGCTCCCTGCGAGGTTTGAACGACTGGAGAATCCCTTGTAGGTACAGAAGCATTGCAATTCACAATAGTTTCTGAAGGCAACTCACCTTCGATGCTTATTGGAGCTCCTATACCTGGATATGGAAGGAGAGTCGTACCGCCGGCGCTTTACAGACGATCTGTAAGACTCTGATGACGGAGTTCTAGATCTTGATCGGTGTCTCCTCCTCGTTCGAGGCATCTGAAATTAACAAGGAATGTTTTTCACCAAGAACTCCTGGTCTTTGCTCAGAAAGCAGGAATCTATCTGGGTTCTATGCAAGCAATGGCGTGTTTCGCGATTATTCGCGGAATGAATCGCCACAGGCCTAGATGCCAATTTCAGGACAGATCGGCCCCAGCGGGACAGGAAACGAACTCCATTTCTTGCATTTTACTTGGTTCCGTATAACCTTTTGCAAGAGTTCCCTAAAACATGGGATGGCATTTGCAAACTGCATATCAAATTGAACCTTGTTCGGTTCTGCAACGTCCTAACTCTCTTTAGGAATGGTCTGAGAAAGTGGGGCAAAATCAGGAAAAATGAAATGTTGAGACTCCAATTTTGATTGAATTTGACAAATTTGTTGCACTTGTGGAGATTAGAAAATCTAAATTCGTTGACCCAACAGCCAAAACTTAAAAAATGACTCATTTTCAAGGTTTAATTACTTTTTGCAACATTGGGATCAAGCTATTATGTTTACATATCCTGGAGGGCCTTTTATTACTGTTAAATGCATCATAACAAATTGCTGGATATTAATGCTTTCTCAAGCTATGAGCTAGGAACGTACAAATGGTAAGCAAAAATCTTCATTGACATGGACATTAGGTGTTTCTCATGTCTGGGTGTCAAGTCAAACATGCTGGATATAAGTAAAAAAAAACAGTATTAATGAGCAAAAGTGGGATTTTGAACCTCAGAATTAGACCTCATCACAATTCTGTTACTTTTCAAGTTCTTGCCCGTCCAATGACTGACACTCTCAGCAGAGTAAGCTGAAAACACATACATAATCAATGGCAGCTTCCCCAAATCCTTAAACTCTTCTTGATAGTACTATCAGAAGAAATAGGTACATGAAATATAGTTTCTTAAAGGTGACAGGGCTGACCAACTAGGTCTGAAGAAATTACCAATACAGGGTTGTCCATAAAGTGACTACCTATGAGTGACTTTTTTATTATTGACCCTGAAGTAGCCATTTTTTTAAACTTTTGTAGACTGACAACATCATGACCTCAGAATAGTCAGGTCTTTTCTCCTTCCACTTTGGCATGGCTGATAATTTCCTAAATCTGGCGTTTTATGCATTTTTTTTATTCATACGAAAAAGAAATTCAGACAATTCAAGGAAAATTTTCCTGTTTAACATTATTTCAACAACTTCTTGCAGTTATCATGGTATTGATTGAATAATAGAGTGTTTTGGGAATTCAAAATAATAAAAATTATGACTTTACTCGACAAATGGGCTCAATGTGCCAACCACCATTTTCCAGACATTTTAGAGCACTGGCAATTGCATTGTTGACAACACCCATCAGAATTCCATCACTTTTCTGGGACATGGCACAAGAGATATTCTCTTTCAAGTTGTTCAGATCTGTGGGCTAGTCCTTGTAAACAATGCCTTTTAAGTAGACCCAGAGGGAAAAAAATCACAAGGGGCCAAAATCTGGAAATTGTGGTCATTTGCCCTGGTTGAAAATTCAGAATGCTGCACTCCATGTCTGAACTTGTAATTGAAACAAGGGTTTGGAGAATGATTTTTCAGTCATACTAGAGTATAGGAACAAATGATGAGACATCATTCCGAGGTCTAATGATAAAAAGCCTACAAAATATAACAAGTTGATTCTCCCAGATTCAGTATGAAAAAAGTTGCCCATGGGTAGGGCAACAGCAGGTAGGTGTCTGATGTGGTTGTTATAGGGTCCTGAGGCAGCCTTTTAAGTGGACAGTCATACCTGAATTGAGCTTGGAAAAAAGCAAGAGAAGTTTCTGAAGCCATGAAGCAAAGCCTATTTTCAACTCTTGATGCTTCCTATAGAAATTGTATATTATTAGCATGTGCACCATGTCACAACAGCACAGCTATCTGTAGTTGATCAGAATCAGAGTGCAAAAGTCAGGATTTTTGCTTATAATTTGTACTTCCTAACCTTACAGCTTGAGAAAACACAAACATCCAAAAGCATGTTATGACTCATTTAACAGAGTAAAGAAAGGTTTACCAGAACATGTAAACATGACAGCTGTATCATAACATCACAAGAAGTTTTTTAGCACTGAAGATGGGCCATTAAAAAAAAATGGCTGATGTTAAGATCAAATGCTGAGAGAGACAAAATGGAGGCCAATGAGCTGAGGGCTTCCATGAAGGCTTCTTCATGGAATGCACAAAGGAATTGCAAAATTAAACTCATCAGACCTCTTTATTGGTAGGCAAGGAAAGGATTATTATGTAGGTGGTTGGTGCCAGGTGACCTTGACCATCGACCTCTAAAGGCCATGTTTTGGCTGTTGGGTCAATGAGTTTGGATCTTCTTTTCTTATCTCTCCACGAGTATAATAAATTTGCCAAATTAATTCAAAGCTAGAATTATTCAACAGTTGCTTTTCCCTAATTTTGCTCAACTATCTCAGAGACAGGCTCTTAATGATACAGAACAAAGATTTGATAACAGAATTCAGTGTCATATTCCACATTCCAATGGACACAGGTACTGCATTAACAGAGCCAATGTATCTTTCTTTTGTATCATTAATAGCAGAGGCTGCATGGGTGAATATTGTATAGGTCCCATATTTGTCTACACTAAATACAGTACCCCAGGGCAGGGCTGGATTTAGGGCAGGCGACCCAGGTGATCACACAGGGCAGAGGGGGGGGGGGGGGGGGGGAAAGACACCCCTTGCCCAGGGGGCGGTTGGNTTGGAGGCTATCAAAAGTGACCTGTCCGCATTTTTTGCTTCAAAGCCAAAGGAATTTTATAAACATGGAATTGAAATGCTTGTAGAAAGGTGGCAGAGTCATAGAGAACGAAGGGGAATATATACTTGATTGAAACTTGATGCGATGCAGGTGTATTTTAATTTTGAAAAACAGAGAAAAAAACGACATTACTTATGGGATGACCTGATATGTAACTGCTAAACTAAAACTGCTAAAGACCAGCAGAATCTGAGACGGGAAGAGGGCAGCTGCCTTCAGCCGAGGTCTCTTAGACGGGAGATTGTCTGGCACCTGTTCTACCAGGAAATTTTCTCATATGGGATAATATCCCCTTTCATAAGCATGGAATGGAACTGCCTGTACTAAATGCCTGGTGATTGTAGGATAGAGGTCGATTATGGCTTCCGAGTAATTCCAAAGCGAGACTTCATTTGAGGTCGAAGATGTGAAGAAGGTTATGGAACAGCTGAAATCAGACTTGCATTGCGTGTCCAGTGGGACCAAATTCAGTGAGGCCGGTCACGTGATTGAAGAACCTCGTACATTACTTAAGCTAGAGACAGTCGACCATATCTTATCTTGTTTTTTGTTTTCATTGCAATCGGAAAGGATGAGGAACTAAACTGGAAAACATGGACTGAAATTTTTTTTCTTGTGTCAGGTCGGGTCGGACAGTGAAGTTCAGCTGCCGTTCGGGTTTCGGGTCGGGTGCGGCTCAAGACTTGAATCGGGCTGATCGGGCCGGGTTCTGAAAAATCAGCCCTTCCAGGACTCTGCCATACCGATTCTGTTTCTGTCCTTCAACGTCCCTCTCTTCCCTCTTCTGGCGTGAGGGTCGCATTGTAAGTAGCGCCAACGTGGAGACGCTCGAGCAAACGCAGTTTCGAGATGGACCTCCAAGTGGATGCGACTGCTTTGCTACTGCTGCGGATGTTGAGAAGGAAATTCAAGAAAAGATTTCGGTTTCGTCCAATGAATGTCTTGTATTCCACTCACAGAGCGTTCGAGCACCTCTTTCCCTATTAAGCAAGGACACAGGCAAGTTCTTCAGTTATTTACGGATGAAGGAAGGTACGCTCTGAAAGTTTCAGGTAAGAGGTTGGTCCAGTCATCGCAGCTCCGACCTGACCGTTCCTCAGTCCTCTTCCGCCAAGCCATCAAACATCTCAAGGTTGTAGGTAGAACAATGACACCATGATGAGGCGTTCGGCCAGAGCAGTCACTCTTATGGTGAGACATACGGTTTTAACTCTGGATATCAACCTTGAACCTCTTTGTGGATATGCCGGCATTTGAATTAGAGGGCTACGGCAATATCCCTGCTACTCCCCTGAGATAGCCTTCCCATACGTCTTTCTGAGATAATCTCAGTGTTTCCCCTCGCAGCACCCGACTGGGTCAAAGGCCCTAGCAAAATGCATGACTAGATAGGCATCCCTTCCCTTGCAACAATTATTCACCAGGAGAGGCATATACTGTAGTCCCACGTCACCTTTATCCGTTGGCTATCATCCAATATAGTGGCATTCTGCCAGGATTCCCTGTCTTCATTAATATTCAACGGCGATCGCTTCTTATCTAATCTAAATTGCAGCAAGCGCGCTACCTCATGCAATGCAAATAAGGTTTCCAATTCTAATTATGTGGAGATCCAACCCATAAAGAATTAGGCAGCCGTGATGAGGAAATAATTATGAAAATCGGATAAATGCTAGTAACACTCGAAAAACATAGCATGGAAGCCTGATTACGGCTCACTCAAACAACGCGTATCGATGTCCTGTGTCGAATCATACGCCTATCGATACCACAATCATAATCTGAGTTTCCAAAGTACTATTTTTTAATGTAAATAATTACACGAGAATATGTTTCTACCTAATTTGCCTTTGGGGAATATTAATATTGCGATTTATACGTTCACTTGTGCTCTTGAAAATGCAGTGAACATTTTTCACTGGAATAAAGATAAGAAAATAGTGCGGGATGGCGACGGAGACGGATACGATGAGTTCCTCGGGAGAATTCGCATCTTTAGGAGAAGGATAATGGACCAAGTTCGTTGGGTAATAAAAAAAAGAACTCTGAAAACTTAAAAGAACCCAGACTGCGTGTAATCCATAAGCCTTGGAAATTCACCTTATCTTGACGAGACTTGAGCTTGAATTTTTAAAGCCATTTCATCCAAATTTCAAAGACATCTTTCCACCCCGCAATGAGGATTTGAATATGGGGAGAAACTTGTGACTAGAAAAGAGATGGGATTAGAAGATCCTTGGCCATGATGCTCGTTTCTTCCATTTTGACAAAGAGACTTCGTGACTCCTTCGATATATTAATTTTTTAAAAGTCTTTCATCTACTTGACTACCCATCCCTTCTTTCTCTCTCTCTCTCTCTCTCTCTCTTTAGATTTTTCTCCCCACTCAAAGGCTCAGCACTTATCGTTCTCAAAGCTTTCAAAATATGAGGGGAAAAGAAAAGAATGAGATTATATGTTGTAGAAGCACCCAAAAGCGATCAATTTCAAGCCTTGGCGAAGAAAATAAATTACCAGAGTTGTGCATAACCCTGGTTATTTATTTACCCTCGTCGCATGTTGGCCATGGCCATCAATACAAGTTTCTTCCCCCTCCTTGCCCAGGGTGCAGTTTGGTCTTGGGCTGGCCCTGCCCCGAGGGGTCTGAATTTTGAACTGCCACCTAGCCTATGACCATCCCTGGACCAAATGAGGAAGCCATGCAAAGTTTGGTCAGGCTGGAATCAGCGGCATGGCTGTGCATAAAGGACAGATGGACGGACAGCAATTCAAATTCAATTTCTTCAGGAAAGTAATTCCTACACAGATAATGTTAAACACCCAGCAGCTGCACAGATGGCAAGAAACAGGAGCTGTTTTAAAGTTGCAACAAGAGTGAAGACTGCTCTCCAAAAGTCAAGATACCAGAAATGATATAAAATGTAAACAGGCAGGAGTAAATAACTCCACATGTGGGTCCATCATGTCAATTTTCCTAAAATCCACCTCAGCTCTCTCAATTTCTGCATTCCCATAAATTGACCAGATCATAGGCTCATACATGAAAAACCTAAATCAAGGCTAAAATAAGTAATATATCTCAAAAGATGAAAGATGTGAGAATGCAATTGTGCAACCTTACAAACAAGGGGCATCCAAAAACTACTAAAGATTTTTCATTAAATTTGCAGTGAATGGGGAACCTTCTTTCTAATGCAAATATTAATGAAGATATAACTTTTTTTTCCAAGTTCAACAGTGATTTCAATGCAGAAAAAGTTCATAGCACTGCATGTAATGAACATTTAAAAACCTGTTGGCAAAAGGTAAATGATGTTCATCTCACAATGGTATTCCAAACTGCTCCAGAACTTGGAAGTGTCAAGGCCTCATATCAAAATGTTTTGGGGGTTCAACAAAAAGCTCAATGGAATTAGTCTTGGAGAACTCAAGTAATAGCATATCTCAGTAAAATTATTAATGAGCAAGTGTGTCAGTGTGCATCTGTCTGCTCAGCTAGACAGGGCTAGGGTGAGTAGGATAATTTTAGTTTTCATCTTTCTGATTATCTTTCATAGATTATTCCAGGATATCCATGCATTGTTGTGAGACTACTCTACTTTTCCTGAAAGAAAACTTCATAATAAAACAAAAGTGAATCTTCATGAACAATTCCCATGCATCAACTGCATAACTTAGCAAGAATTTGGACCAGATGGAATATTTATTACCAGGTGGTACAATCATAAATATGCACTTGAACATATGAAGTACCTCATCAACAGCATCCATTATTTAATGGCAGTGTTTATTGGCCAAGCTGGCTCGGTCCTGACTTCAAGGCCGAGCTGGGAATAATGATCTCTAACATCACTACTAACATGATACAGTTTCCTGCAGCCCACCAAACAGGCAAGTCTTGCAAGGTAGAGGAAGCTACTTCATTTGCCTTGTGGGAAGACTTTGAGTAATCTTTTCCACCTTGTCAGCACAAAACTAGACAGCTCTTCATTATCGTAGTATATCATGGTTGTTTAAAAGGTATTATATCATGTCAGGTTAGGAAAGATTACATGCAACTTAACTAATTTAAGATTTCTTGTGCTGGAATGTGGGTAAATTGAAATCAACTTTAGAAATCACCCATTAAGGGCTCTTTTCTCTTCACACAATTAAGGCCTTGAGTGAGCCCTCTACCATAACTATATAGATTTATGGATTTTGTCTAATCCTGCATCTTAATAGTTACTTTTTTACTTTTCTTTTGAAGTTGCTGAAAAAGATGCACATGGTACTGTTACTGGTACGAATATGATGTAAGCTATCACTCTGGAATACACATCTTTTAGGACTTAAGCCTAACCTTACAAATTATTTTCTGCTTCTGAAAGCCAGCTCAGCCACAACTTAAAGGCCAAGCTCTCTTCTAGAGAGTATTGCTCTCAACAACTGACATGTCATGAGTCAGATGACTTTCCAGCTCGTCCCTTACATCAGGGCCGAGCCAGCTTGGCCAATAGACACTGCCTTATTTAATATAAGCCCTTCTCCATCGGACAAAAATTATCTTACTGAATACTGAAGCTTACAGGCCATATCAATCTTGACTTGGGCCTAAATGCTATATTATACTTCTCCTGGCAGACAAGCAAACCATGTAGGGAACTGCAGTTCCAACGACTGGGAGCAAACAAGTCCTATATCCTTCACATAGGCTTATATGCAATGTGTTAAAAAAAAGGACCATTGTATTGGTGGCACACTTAACATTGGGCCCACTGACAATGCAGACTGTGAATTACAGAAAGAGTGCTACAACCCAGTGTTCAATGAAAGCCTGGATTATGTCTATCTTAGTCTAGATCTGCCTATAAAGGGTTTGGATATCCATGACACAGCTTGGTCAACTGATTTATCCTCATACCCTCCAGATCTGCTGTCAGAGTAGGCTTCCCACTAGCCTACCATTCATAATCCTGAGTCAAGGTCTACCATAGCAGGTCTTATCCAGTCTATAGATACAGAGAACGTTAGGCCTAAACGTTCACACTCACGTTCTTCGCTCTAATTTCTCCAAGTTTGTTCCAGATAACTTCCAGAATGGCTTCGGAACGATCGTGAAAGCACGGTTATATTCCCTGCTTCACAAGAAATGAATGGAGATGAACGAATTCCAAGTGCCAGGTTTAAGAGAGAGAGAGACACAGGAAAAATTATCCTGCCACACACCACCACCTATGGTAAAAGTTGATCTATTCCGCGGCATAAGCCACCATCTTTCGCAGCTCATGGGCACGAACCAATGAAATTTAAGAAGTTTGATGATGTCATGTTTGAGATCTCTTCGACCAGGAAGGCACCACTGAGAGCCGCTCTTCTTACTAAAATTTGCAGTGAATTTCTTGTTTTTCATTAAGAGAGGATGAGACTATTCCTGCATGGGTTCTCAGATGGAGAGAAATGCTGGGTCAAGTGGCGAAGTTGTTAGTGATTCAGTTAGTGATTCTCTACTCCCACTGAGTCGTAATCTGTTATAGTTGTATTCCAAGCCTCTCAAATTTTATTGTTCAAGCTATCAGCCTACCAGTAACGACAGCGAGAAAGAGGTTCTTGAACTTCTCATCGTAACATTATAAACACAATGTTAACGGGGGTTGCCCACACAGCCTTCCACTTTTGTAATGGCATATACTTCCTGTAATGAGTTAATAAATTAACCATGTGCCTTAAGGTTCCAAAGACAACCCAGATAACATTTTTCATGGGGCCCACTTTAGCCCAACGTGGTCCTCCAACGTCAGGATACGTTGGCCCAACGTAGGTTGCTCACGTAGGCCCCACGTGAAAGTGACTGTTGGGCCCACGTGGGGCCAACGTTGGCAGTAAGTTGGATAGCAACGTATAACCCATGGGCGTCCGCTGGTTTATTCCCAGGGGGGGGCAAGGCACAAGAATGGCAGAATAGATGCACACACAAGGGTAATTTATCTTTTGTAAAATGATGATAAAGTACAAGGAATTATACCAGGGTAATTCCATCTCAAGTCAGCCAGAGGCCGGAGCATGACCCCCTCTGATTTTGATGAAAATTTTTAATGTGGTACCCCTCATGACCCAAAGTTAGAATGTAAAATTTTCGTTTTGGGTATGGAACCGTTTTAGCACAATAATTTGTTAAATTTTGTGAAATTAAAAAAAGGTGCACCTCTTCACACTCGTGGGCCAAAA